ATCAGATTTTCACTCTTTCTTATGAAGATTTAAGGATTTTGACACCAACAGCTACAGGTGTTACCTTCAATTGTGGCATCTTTGCACATTTCCTTTGCATCAAACTATCTACTGAACCAAATGGACATAATTTCAAGTCAACTCAGGGTTTATTCAACATAATCTGGAGATACTGAAAGTACCTTTCGTCTGCAGGTTTGGGATCTTGGTCACAACACACACTTCATTAGCAGAAAGAAAAGGGCAGCTTCCGTCTGTCTGGAATTTCAAGGATATTAATGTTTTGGTTTCGTTTCGACTGAGCTGCTCTGTAAGACAATAAAGTGTCAGTGTGTCCTAAAGTGTCAATGTGTCCTTATCTTGAATATGTCACCTTTATTATTAATTCTGTTTTAAAGAGAATCAACTGCTTGTCTGCTCAAATGTTGGAGTTTCCATGAGATGTAGGGGTCAGAGATAATCACTTTTCTTTCCTGATGCTCCTATTGGAGATGACCATGAAAAATGGCTTCATCATTAAAGGGGAGTTTAAAAAATAAGTGATAAGAATATTAACTTTAGACACTGATTGCCTCCCCTTCTTCACTGTTGCAAGGGAGGTTGGTTTAGCAGTGCTGATATGGCATTAGAGTTGCATTTAGGTCTAATCCTCAAAGTGACAGGCAAGGCAGTCACTCCTCGCCCTCTCTGAGATCTCTCCACTCACACCTGCAAAGATGCCCGAGAAAAAACAAAACGCACACACACACAAGCCGGGGAAGCTTGGCCTCAGCATCGAGTTTTATGATACACTTGCATTGAGCACGTACTCCCATTCACCGTATCTTCTGTTCTGATAACTCCATGCATGCTTGTCCACCAACACTGCTCTCATTTCAGCGTGAGAGTGGGAGAAAAACTGCTCTGTCAAAATGTTCTCGGTGTAACTCTTTAGAAGATACTTTAACTCCTTGCTTTTTGCTATCAGTCCACAAGAATGGCACATGCCAAAGTTTCAGCAACTTTCAGAGAAACAGGGACATTAGAAAAGAGAGAGAGACTGGGAGAATAATCCGACGGCAAAGATGGTGGTAACAACAGTGTTTTAATACCAAAATCCTACTGGCTATTTTTAGCACACATAAAAAACGTTAAAGTTTACCTTCATTTTTCCAGTTCGCTTTTGCTGTTGTAATTAAAGGCAGCCTACAGATGCTGCTGATGGAGCCTTTCATTGGTGCCCACATTTATGAGGCAAATCATTAGATAGACCGTGTCTTGAAATAGATGTTTGGCATTTTGGGAAAAGTGATTATTCATGTTCTTGCCCAGTTTTTTAGAATATCAATACGACTCTTGATTCAGAGCTGGAGCAATAACGTTTGTTTTAGCACTGGAGGAAAAAGCTGTCCTGCTTCCACCCAGAGATAAAATCTGCCTTTCCTCACTTCCCAGTCTCAGGGATTAAATGGGAGTTATCATGCTCACTTCTAACTCAATATACAGTGCTCAGCATAAATGAGTACACCCCTCTACATTTGTCAGAAAACCTTTAGTTTCCTTTCAGAATCAACATTTTCTATGAGATACTATAATACAAAATAGTCCCACAAATTGATTGCAAACAAAATTTATTTGCACACACAAAAAATGATTTTCCCAACAAACTCATTCAAGCCCATGTTGCAAAAATGAGTGCACCCCAATTATAGTTTTAGGAGAAAAGCCACACTTAACACTGCAAAATTCAAATTAACAGGCATTCAACCACAGGTGAGTCTAATGATTCATTTAAGAGGTGTCCAGCAGCAGACGGGATGATAAAAGGGCATTACTTAACAAAGAAAAGCCCTTCCCATTTCATGCTGCCAGCAATGGATCCACATGGAAGAGAAATGTCACAAAATATGAGAAAGGAAATCATTTCTTTACACAAAAAGGTGAGGGCTACAAGAAGATCAAAGCTTTACATATCAGTCAAAATACTGTAGCAAAAGTGATCCAAAAATTTAAGAAAGATGGAAGTGCAACCATCTCACAGAGACGTCCAGGCCGTCCACGGAAGTTAACATCTCAACAGGAGCGTCTCCTGATGAGAAGGGTTAAGGAAAATCACCATGGAAGTTCACTGCAGTTAGCTAAAGCAGTAGAAAGCCAAACTGGAGTAACCGTTTCCCGTGACACCATCCGGCGCACACTGCAGAGGAATGGCATGCATGGGTATCGTCCATGAAGGAAGCCTCTCCTAAAGCCCTTGCACAAAAAAGCACGCCTAGAATTTGCTAGGGCCCATGCTGAAAAAGATGAAGACTACTGGGACTCTATGCTCTGGAGTGATGAGACAAAGATCACTGTTTTTTGAACTAAAGGTTTCAAAACTGTATGGCGTCATAAAGGTGAGGATTTCAAGGGGAAATGCATGGTGCCTACAGTGAAACATGGTGGTGGTAGTGTCCTTATGTGGGGCTGCATGAGTGCTGCTGGTGTTGGGGAGCTGCATTTCATTGATGGTATCATGAACTCAACAATATACTGCTCTGTTCTGAAGAAGAAGATGATGATGACATCACTTCGTGCACTTGGTTGTCGTGCACTTTTCCAACAAGACAATGATCCAAAACACACATCTAAAGCTACTGTTGCGTTTCTGAGGAAGAACAGGGTGAAGGTGATTGAATGGCCAGGTATGTCTCCTGATCTGAACCCAATCGAACACCTGTGGGGAATTCTCCATCCAGCATCCAGGCTCTAAAAGAGGTTATTCTTGAAGAATGGAAAAAGATGTTGCAATATGTCGCAACTTGTTCATTCCATGCCTAGAAGACTTGGTGCTGTCCTTCAAAATCACGGTGGCCATACAAAATACTAGATGTAGTAGTTTTGTTGTGGGGTGTATTCATTTTTGCTTCCACCAATTTTAGTAAAACTGAAGATTTAGTCAAGATTAAGATTAAGTTATATTATTAAGCTTAATTTCAGGTTATGGAGTTGAACAAGTGTTCAGTAAAACTCAGCCTTGTGAAAATTTGGAAAATTGTTATTTTGTTCATTGAGCTACTTAATAAATTTGTACTTTTTGAAGGGGGTGTACTCATTTATGCTGAGCACTGTATTTATTCTTGGGCTCCACTAGAGGAACTCAACATGCTTGACAGTTCAAAATAGTCCATATTTACCTTATACTGGGCCTTGTCGCAGCTCCTCAGTTCATCCACCTGTCAAACTATTTTATGTCACTTTTCGTTCCCTTTAAGACTGTGTTTTTCTGATTGGATGCCCCTCACAAACATAAGGTTTATATAATGAGACAGACTAAGAAAAATGCTACATCTCCTTCGATACATTATAACTTTAAAAAAAGACTTTACATCAATGTAACAAGCTATAACAATATATCGAGTCCTTTCATTTTTCCCAGCTAAACTGACCTAACAGAGTGCACTACATTCAGTAAACACAATCAGGTTTCTCCTCTGACTGCCTGCACAAACTGAATCAAACACAGTTCCTTAAGAGCTGAACTATTTTTAAGCAGATTTTTATTTTTTGCACGCTTTTTGCTTTCTATCAAGTATGTAACAGTTTCACATTAATTATCACCCACTGGAAAAATACTGTGTAGTGTGAGGTAATGTGTCTTGGGATGAGTTGTCTTTGTTTTCTCTCCTCAGGCTCATCACTCTCCTTATGGAGTCCATCTCCGCACCTAAACCATGTAACCATTACTTTATGGTCCCAGGGTACAGACAGAAGCATAGTACTCCCATCTATTTCAGTCTGTCTGTGGTCTGCCTGCTGCCCAGCCTTTCTAATTTGGTGATGAGCTGTAAAGTGACCTGCTGCCCCAGCTGGAACAGGAGTGGGATTCCAGGGATTTCCTTACTGGGCCTCTTGGTTTGGACGGATGACACTGCACACCCTATCACCCTCTCCATGTGGACTCCAGGCCACTTGCTGCAGAGGGCACCCTGGCATTGACCCCCTGCACCCACCCAGCTCATGGGTAAGATGAGATGCCAGGAATAATTGATGATAATGTGGGCCATGATATCTGTCCAGGCAGGGCAGGGGACACCTCTTGCTCCCACCTCCTGCTGAGGGGTTACTGCCACCTCCATTTGCACTAATTGGTGCAAACATTCACTGCTTCACAACTGACATACACTCTCTTCATGTATGCCATGAAGTGCCTGTGTAAATGACCCTTTGCATTAGTTAATTAGGTGCACTGGCACTCCTAAGTAATTATAACGATGTTACATGTTTTTACTCGATCAAACACTAGTCTGTCTGCAAATAAATTCTAGTGTATAGAGATATTTTCTCCCCCTTTCCCTCCGGTTTTCAAGTTAAATGAATGTTGTTCTCTCTCTTCTCTTTCTTAGACTATGCACTCTCTTCCACTGAGCCACCTGTACTCTGTATTGTTTCATTTTTGGAGTGTAGGGGGATTGACTGTCCCTAATCCATGGCCACAGAAGAGGTTTAAAACACTCCTGTTTCATCTAATCTTCCAGCTTAGACCTAGCCAACCTTGAAACCCCGCTTTCTCCGTGATAGGAATGGACAAATAAAGGTCTCTCCCAGCACTCCCATGAAAGGGCTCTGTGTGCTCTGTGGATTAGGGCCCTGTGTTTTCTGTCTCTCTTTCTCAATTAGACTGAAAAAGGGTGAAAAAAAATATAAAGACTCCCCTGTTCATGTAGTATTGCAAGGCTGTAAAAGTTCCATATTTCGCTTTTTTAGATAGGGAATGTTTAGTGGCTCTAAAAAACTAAGTAATCTTTTTACATAAAGAAACATTAACGTCTTAATGTACAGAGATTTGTTGAGAACGGCATGTTCAGTATGAAATAGACCTATTAAGGGTCGTACATAGGTACAGGGTGCCACATTAATAAGCACTCTTCTGATTTAATTTTCAAAAGCAAAGTGGAAGCGAGAGAGCGAAAATATGAATGACTGTTCTGTTCAGGCACTTTCACGGACAGCTCATATTCTGTAAATAGAGGTCCTTCAGATGCAGCGCATGCTTTGTATCGCCTCTCCCACAGCTGCAGTGAAAACACCGGTGTCTCGCTCAAATGGTATTTTAACAATATTCATTAAAGCGTCTACTTCTTTTCATAAACTGTGTACTCACTATACCCAGCAATAACTCCTGACATCTAAAAATGTTTATTAGGGCTATTTTCGAGCCACGTTGCTAACGTTAGCCTGTTTCTTACTAATATCGCGCGAGAGAAACCAAAGCACCTCCAAACATTTTTTTAAAGTCAGTATTTTAGATTTTAACAAAGGCTTGTGTAACATATCTCCTTCAGTAGATAACGAATAACGGAAATCCCGGATGTGAAGTCCAGCATCTGCGTGGAGGGCAGCTTCTTATCTGCCCTCTGAGCTGTATTAACATGAGAGCTATATTTCTGTTGTGGATCCACTCTTGTGGATAAAATACACGGTGTACCATTCCTGTAGGTCAGAAGGGTACTTAAAAGCACTATTTTTTTGAGCGAAGTTTGTAGTGATAGCTACAGCTTATGTTCCTCGTGACATGTGTTGGAATTAGTTGTGAGGGAGGTTTATATAAATATTTATACATTTGTTTTATTTATTGAAGAATGGAGTGTGAGAAATAAGTCAAGGAGAAATTACATTTTTATAATCAATTCTTTTTAATGAGCATATGTGTCTATTACATATCATCTATGAAATTCTTTTTTGGTATTTACAGGTTATAAAGTTAGTTATTGTTTTAGAAAAGCAATGAATATGGAGCCTATACAGCCTTTGAGGAATGCACAGGTGCTGGACAGGTGTTGTAAATGGTGTTTTGTTACTCGGTCACATTTAAGAGTCCGTTCTGGTTGAACTCCAGGAGCCGTTCACCACCTACAACTAGTTATCCCGTTGTCAAACTTTTCACCATTGATTTGTGCATTCAGTCACTCATCGCTGCCCCTGAAGTTGACTGACAGCTGAAGGAGTGGGGGATGTGCAGTCTGACAAAGTGTAACAACTTGCTGTTTCCTGTGTTCCCCAACCCTCAATGCATGATGTCTTTTTTGAATTAGAGCACAATAAGAATGCACTTGTTTTCCTATATTTGCTGCGTTGACAGCATAATCCCCATATATCCGAAGGTGATCACACTCAAAATGTGCGTTGATGTATGATGACCCTCGAGCTGTCGACCCTCTTGTGTGCCTTTTTCCTCTAGTGCCCAGGCAAATGACCTGATGGAGGAAATGGGTGATAATGCAAACAGATAAGGCTCTTGGTACCTGTTGACCACAGTCAGAACCTCCTAAATCAGGACCCTCTGACATGGTGCTCCATCAGTGCCTGCATCAGTGACTCCCACAGGGCATTGAGCCCTTATCTGCAGTGGCCCCTGCTTAGCATTCACGCCATTCACGCGAACAATGCTGCCTCTTCCCGCTCATTGGATCTGTGACTGACAGTGGGTGTTGGTGCACTTGTGTCTGACTTCAGCCACTATCTGACGCTGGGCTGTTTATCCAGTCCAGATTACCCCCACCAAGACACAATAAAGGGTGTGTGTCTTCCTTGCCACTTCCCATTCTGTTTTTCTAGCTGCATGTTTATAATGGAGCTCGCTCTCTATTTGGCACATTGGTTTCCTCCTCAGGAGGACCTGTATTAGTTGGAAAGGGGGAGGGCTGAGGCAAGAAGGGCTGACTAATGGTTGTAGAATCAGCTCACCACCCACTGATCAACAAACGAGGTGGAAATGCCATCATGACCAGAAAAAGCAGGGAAGCAGCAGATAAGAGCATTGCCTTTGATAAACAGCTAATAGTGAAGTATGACTAATAGCTGAGGTATGATGTAGTGGCCTTAGAAGAATCTGGAAGCTTTTTCTTGAACTTTGTTGGCTAAGAAAAGGAATATTACTGGTTTGATAGGTCATAAAGTAGGTTTTTCATTGAGGGCACATCTAGACTGGAGCTTTTGAGCTATGTGTAATCTGCTTTGGGTTTTCATCATGCAGCTCAGATCTCATATTTGATGAGGCTCATATCACAGAACGGGATCTTGGGATTCCATGGCTCCATAATGGCTCTTGTGAAGCTGGGGCATTATAAAAGGTCCCATCATCAACCCCTGTGATCAGTATATCCTTCCCTGCCTGCTCTTTATATTTATGAATGGCACAATCCCACAAGTTCAGGAGCTCGGGAGGGTAGCGTCCGATCACGTGATACAGCACCAAGCGAGGAATGTGCAGGACTCTCCCCTCCAACTCTGCTGGAAAAACAAAAAATAGAAAAACTTTGATGCCCCATATCATAACGACTGTCCTGTGTGTCCCCTCCCTCTTCGTATGTGCAGTGATGCTGAGGAGGGTAATGGGCGGTGGTGCAGTCAAAGGGGGGCACAGATAGTCGCTGTGTTTGATCTGAAGGTCGCCAGCCCCTTGCTGGTGTTGAGAGATTCTTGGCGGACGAGGCTGGCTCTCATTTAATAACATGAAGGGGAAGCGGACCTTTCTCTCATAATTAGGCCTAATTACCCTGTAGGTGTGGACAGACGGCCCAAGAAGAGACAAACTGCCTTTATCCGTGGACTTTGAGTCAGATTACCCAGAGCTGTCTTATCTGTTACAGGGCCAGCAGGAGCCTCAGTCCTCTCTTGCCTCTTCCCGCTGGCTCCTAAAACCAGCTCAGGCGTATTAATCAGTCTCCCTGATTTAGTATTCTTGTGCACGATACACAGGTTTAATTAGGTGTAGCTATTGTTTTTTTCATTGTGAACATGCTTAATAAAACAATGGCCACACAGAGAGTCTTCCTGTCTTATAGTTCACCTTATGAAGGTTTCTTATGTTTATTAAAAAAAGCAACCCAGTAAATTTTGAGTTCTTTGACCTGCGTCTGCATTTCTTTGACCTGATCCTGCTGCCAGCTTTACTGCAGCTCGACCACTACAGCGGATGTGCATTCACAAGTGAAAATTACTGGCTTGAAAAATGCCAGGGCAGATCCCCCCCTTTGCTTTGCTTCCTTCTTGAAAATACATTTTGGTGACTTCGAGTCACCATGTTGTTTGTTTACAGTGTCTTTCTCTCCCTTCCTGAGCTGCCTGCATGTTTGTGTTTGGGTTTGTAGCTGACTCGCTTGCAGCCGCAACAGCAGGCCCATTGTTGGGCCAGTTCAGCGACTGGAAATGCTGACGCCTGGAAAACCTCACTGAGGAAGTAGTGGCTGGGGGAAAATGGCCATTATACTCATCCTTTGGATGTGCGTTTATTTTTGCAGTTCTCGAGCCCCTGCAAAGCGCGTGTCCGCCGCTGACTCCGGCTGTTGTCTTTTAGGTGACGGCGAACTGCAGCCGCCAGTGGAAAGTTCTGCGAGTCGAAACAGCAAGCCAATGAAAACAGCCAGTTTCAGGTCTCAGTGTGACTCGCAGCTCAACACTGGAAGAGGACAATAAGGGAGGCATAACCCACCTGTTACCAGGGTTAGGCCCCCCCCCTGTCACACACTCACACAGGCCCAGGACTAAGGAATGTAGTCTTACCCACCCATTCACAGGAGGAGCAGCTTCACTGATAGACCCATAAAAACACTGCTGCCATCTTCTTCATACCATACAAAACAAGTTTGTACAGTTGTTGCTTTAAGGCGTTTCTGTTGGTTCAGTTCCGAGAAAAGTGTGACATTAATGGTCAGTATCTTAAACATTTCCAAATTTCAGTCTCAATCTTGTCGTTGGAGATTCCACAAATGTCTTGCACTTATTGGTTGCTGTGCTTTCAGTTCTGTACAGCTCCAGATCCAGCTGAGTTTCAGTCTGGATACTGTGCCAGTCCGCCAGGCTTTGAGTCCTCTCCTGTTCTTTTCTCAAGGCCTTTGTGTGATGTTGTAGCATGACCAAGCAGTCTGTCGGCCTTTGTTAGGTACCTTTCAGGCAGTTGAGTTTTGTCATAATAATGCATCAGTAACATTTGTTCCACACTGCTGTCAGACACACAGAGGGTTTGCAAGTTATTGTGAAAAGTTAGGACACCTGCAGGAATTATGCTCAGAAAGTTTTGAGCACTTAATTCACATAAAGTTCTTTTTAATGAATGAAAATTTCCTACTTTTTCTGAAATGTATTAATTTATTAGACCAACTTAATTACAGGGTAAAAAAGCTGATGCTTTTTTTTTTAATTTCTGCTTTATATATTAATCAATAGTACAGCTGGTGAAATAACCGTCATTGTTAGAACATGGGACTACACTGTTATGTGCTTAATTAGGGAGGTTGATCGGGGGTCTCTGTCGCTCCGCTTCACAGATTCACATGGACAATTTAACCACTAACCTCCTGAAATGAGCTGCTCCTGAATGCCTCGGGCTCCAGTTTCAGTGTCTGCTGATTGCAGAGAGCAAGGGTTATGATAAGTAAAAGTAGGGGAGGGGAGTGAGTCGGGGCAGGAGAATAAGGCTTCCAGTTTTAGGTACCTGTGGGGATGCTTTGGAAAACAATGCCATTAATCAGTTGCTGTAGCAGCCAAGCATTATAGAGAACTTATGTTACTTTTTTGTAGATTTTGGTAGACTCCATTCTTTCATTGTGTATCCTCAGATTTACTCTATGAAACTGAAATCAGGGCTCTGTCAGGGCCTGTGACTCTTACTATTATATATCTTGGTTCATATTTGGAGTAAATGTGTTCTTGCAGAACATTGTGTTCTTCCCTATACTAACTGCAATCAATATACTGGACACAAGTGGGACATATCAGCTGATAGGTGGATAGATAATGTCAGTGGCTGATTTTTACCTGTTATGTCATATCGCTTTTACACTGGCTGAAAAAGGTAATTCTGTGTCACCTCATCCAAAGCTTCTCATTTGATCATCTCAGATTTGCCAAGGGGAAAGATACACTTCTCTGAACCCAGTTCAAAGGTGATGATGAAAAGCAGTTAACTTGTTAATGATGATCTTTTTGTTTTACTTAAAAAATGGAGGAACGAATCACAACAAATACTGAATAAATTAAGGCAGAGAAATGTGGGAATAGCTAAGCAAGTTTGGGCCTGGTTAGTACTTGGATGGGAATGCCTGTAAGCTTACAGGGGTGGCTGTAGTGCTGATTGCTCTCCGATGCATCTATTGGAGACAGAAAGCACTTAGGTAGAAAAAGCATAGAAAAAAGTGCTTATATGAATGTGTGTGAATGGGTAGAAAAAGCACTTTTATAAGAACTACCAATTACCATTTACATATACGTGGGCCACATGCCTGTGCAAAACATAAATACTAATAATAGCCCATTTGGCGCATCCTTAAGTTTTGTGTTGGCAAGTGTCTTTTCATGTAGTTTGACACCATGATTTTAAACATAGATAGCATTTTATTAGCTGTGATATCAGCCATTCACATGTGATTGTTCAGTGTTGAAGCATCATTTCCTTGCAGCATGCCTGTGGTCAGGTTGGTTTCCTCAGCTACCCAGCCTACAAACAACTTAAGCCCGAGCTGTTACCTCTGCCTCTGGGACAACGGCTGTAGATCAAGAGGAATGAGAAGCTCAGCTCTCTGTGTTTACAGTAATTCAGCTGTCAGAAGTGGTGATATATGACATATTGAGTAAGAGAGGTGTTTTCACGCAGACTAGAAGGAGGAAGACCGAAAGAGAGCCACAGGGTCTGTAGCTACTAACAATGGAGAAAATACAGACAGTGTATAAAACATCTGTCTGCTGTGTGGAAGAGAAAGGGTGAAGCACCTCAAGGAGGCCCGTGCTCAGTGTTTGTGCATAAAAGGTTTTTGCTTATTTGACATATTAGGTGTGCACTTCATTTCTATTTTGTTCATCTAAAATGTGTCCAATTATCCTGTTTTGCATAAAATACGTTTATCAGACGTTGTGCAGTCTCTGAGAGGTATTTGTGGAGCAACCCAGTGTGGACTGTAAGCATTTTATTGCCATCAGCCTCAGAATACACTACTGTCACGTGCTACATTCAGATTTCATGTTCATGTTTTTCTTTTACAGTGACCGCAGCGGCGCTAGTTTTCAGCCTTCTTTCTGCCACGCTTTGATTGCTTGACCAAAGGATGTCTCGTCCTTCTCCATCCCCCATTTACACCCTGAGGGGGGCGGGCGGACCCCTTAACACACTTCACTTTAGCTGCCAAGGAGAGGGCACTCCCCTCCTGTTCTCTGGGTGAGCCACGATTTGCTCCTTCATATTTTTGAATGTTAGTTTCTTTGAACAAGAGTAAATCTTACCATTTTTGTAGCTACTGTAAAGCAGAACCAGTTTAGTGTAAGGTTCTATGTACGTGATGATCATTAAAGATCCTTTACAAAGCGGCATCCTTGTTTTTGCAGGTCAGGAAAGGGTGCCATACATATCTGGAACCTGAACAGCAGGAGGGCAGAGAAGATCATAGAAGCTCACTCTGGTAACTCTGTCATCTGGGTCAGCACACTGCAGTCAGCAGATGCACTCATCAGGTAAACCTCTCTCAGCTGTCTGGTTCTTACCTTTATTTTCTTAGCAAGGATTTGTGAATAAGAAATATTGTTAGTATGTCAGTTGTGGTTTAATTCTATGCAAACTGTTTGATTTTAAAAAGTATATAATAGTGAATAACTGCAGATTTTCAGCTCTGGTTTCGCTCTTCCTATTGGTGGCGCAGTCAGGGCCGGGACATGCAGGTCTGCTGGTGGGACGTGAGTGAAGGTCGCAGTGAGCTGGTGGAGTCTGTGCGGACTGGCAGTGTTGGATACTGTCAGTGCTCCCTTGTAGAGATGAGCCCTGCAAATTACCTTCTGGCCTACGCTGGGGAGCAGACGGAGGAGGTTAGACATCAGCAGTGTCAACATTCAATTGTCTTTACAATCCATGTTCATCCCCGCCTCTTTATCAGCACATGCTGGCATATGCTAAATCTCTCAACCTAAAGGGAATCTGTTTCCAGTTCAATATTTTTATTCCTGGTCTCCACAAGAGTTACTTTTCATGATCCATAGATCCAGATGATACTTGTCCTATACTAAGCCTTGGAATTCCTTCAGTCCATTCTTAGTCTAAAATGAGACATTTTAGCTCCTTTGCTTCTTTTTACTTCTTACTGTCCGAGCCTTGTGAATAAAAAGTTTGAACAACAGGTGTGAACTTGAGAGAACTATATTAAGAACATCCGCTTTCACTGATGTCTTACCATATAATATGATACAGAACCAAGAGTAGACAAAACTGTCTGAAGCCTGAGCTGTTGGCTCACAGGGATTAGCTGTACTTATGCTGAACTCATTATTTGAAACTTCAGCTATGTTTAATATGAGCATCTGCTATTGTAACTGTATAGACATGAGGGAAAACAAGGGAAAGCTTAAAGGTTCCTATTATAGATATAATGTAATTAAGTTAAAAATGGAATCTTTTTCTTGAGGTAGAGGAGTTTCTATTAGTGAGTGTGACAACTTTTTATTATAATATCTAGAAATGTTTGCCACACATTTTCACAGGAATGCAAGTCTGATTACATTACATTGAGTGTTATATAAGTATTATACTAACTATTACTTGTTACTTTTCTTAAAAGTAATGGAGTATGTTGATTAATTACTTGCCAGAGAAAGTAATGCATTAAATTATTCGTTGCATTATTTTCTTGTTACTCCGTAAAATGACCTGAAGTGCACCATCACATAATGGCCAGTCCCACACAATAACACAACTCCCTGTCCTAACAAGGAAACACATTCAGTCTTTCTTTTAGTTTTTATGTATGAACACAAAGCAAAGATGAAAGCCAGCCCAAAGAGACCTCAAAGCGACCACAACAGCGATTCTACTTCAGAAACATGAACAGGTAGATCACCTGCTGAAGTTCAGGCTCTGGCTGCCAGGCTGGGGTCAGCAAATGCTCAGCTTTAATTTGTGGCTCTTTCTGCCTTTGACTCAATTTGCAGACAAACACAAGTCAGCTGATTGTGGCACAAGGTCTCAGGAAGAAAGAAGCATGTTTGGTTGTTACATAGAACTGAAGACCGATTGCAATGAAAATAACAACATAATTGTATCTGTAATGTAATTACTGAAGTCAGTTGTTTAATGCTTACTGAAAAATGCAAAGTGTTACTTCTGACACTGCAGATTCGACTGCATCCGTCCGCATTCAATTAAATTCCCATTTGATGAGTAACTTGATGCTCCGTTTCATTTTCAACTGACATGGAAGGATTTCGTTAGCATATAAATAGCTCGGCTTTTTGGGTGAGCAGCTTAATTGGTTTAAACCGTCTGAGTTGAGTGTAAAAACACATCCTGTATAAACCTGACCAGACTTGCTGTTGCTGTTTAACTCAATGGAATTCACACATATTTGTGGGTTTTGATACCGTAAGTGTGCTCTCGGAAAATTGTGTTCCTCAAAGTTGTTTTTGTTGCAAGTTCTGTCATCTTTCCACCGATGTTTTGCATTTGATGTGATCCATAAGCGTATTGAATCCATTCAGGTAGTGTCAACATGACAGTTTCTGGCTGCCCTCTGCAGCCAGAAACTGTCAAACTGTGATCTGAATGGCATCATTAGCAAACCTTGATTTTATGCATCAGTGTGCACGTTTGAAGGTCAGGATCTTAGTACTGACCACCAGCTAAATGTTGGTTAATTGTGGTTGTGGTTAGTAACATTCTTTTACCTGAATGCTTTTGTCTAAAACACATGGCTTTGAGAATTCCTAAGAAAGCAAAGCGCAGTTTTAATTGTGCTTTACAGTAAGTAATGAGCATGTTCCTGCTTACAAGTCAAAGTAGCTGTTTACATTTTTGTCTTTGAATGGTGGCTTAAAGAGAAAAGAATCCCAGCCCAGTCCTGATGGTGGAATGAAATCACAGTTTTGTCTGTCTTGAGGTTAATTTTCTACACCCACACGCCTGTTTGGTTTTGTGTGGAGCCAGTGTCTGAGTGGTGAGGCAGGATGGGGCAGCCAGCTATTCAGCCATCTTTTATTGCCTCCAGATTCATGTTACGTGCTCTTCTGTGGCAGAGCTACACTTGAAAGGGAAGGAGCGGTCACCTGATCCAGTCAAACGTGCCTCTGCTAACCTCGGTCCAGTGGGCCAGGCATCAGGGCGCCTGTGACTCCCAGCACCTCAATAATGCCATTGTCCCAACAGACACAGACAGAGACACACCTACAGACCCATAAACGGCAGACCAAAACAGGCCACACTCCATTTTGGGCTCTCCACCCCATTCCACAGACATAACTGACCAAGTCAGATCCCTATCATGCATCTGCAAGTAAAAACACACCCATTAATGAATTACCTTAAGGAACAATACTGAGGCACTTGCCACAGAGCATTCACAATGGCATGATTCAGCGCCTCGGGCAAAATACGGGGCGATATTTAGATATGTAACCGAGACAGGCAGCAGTTTCCATCTGAAGCTATTTCACGTGGTTTTATTGTTTACTGCTCACAGTGAGATTCCTGCCAGCAGCTTTGCTGCCACGGGAGAAACATTAATTAATAGCGTGGGTGTTTTATTTATGGGCAGTGTGATGCCACACAAGAACAGTGATCACCTGAGGCACAGAGAAGTCCTTAAAGGCCCTCTTTGTCAGGCACGCAGAGGTAAACATGCAGGACAGATGTGGCTTAGCGCTAAAATACAGATCGCTTCCTTTAAGGGCTGTTTAATCTGAGGCCTAATGAGAATGAATATGAGCAGTGTATATCATCCGCGTGGAGAAAGTCGAAGGAATGAACTTTGGTCAGGATGTGTGGGTACACACACTCGCACGTGCACGCACACACATCATCATTAGTCTGTGTATTTTTTATCAGAATCAGTGCCAATGTGTGCAGGAAAACACCACTCAGGTCGCAGGGTGAGCCTTTAGCAGGATTTATTATAGACAGTGAGGCGGCTGCTCTGCGCTGATGGATGACACTGTACTGCTGGTTGGAGGGACTTGGATCCGTGGAGGTCCTGAAAAAGCAAGTATGGATTTGGGTTGCAGGTTTGTTACTTGAATGCAGAAGACAGACAAATTCCAACTTGGCAATTAGAACTTGTGTGTATATATAATTTTGTGCCAGTAATGAAAACAGATGAATGAAAACACATACGCTGCCATTTTTTGCTTTTGGGGTGAGAGATAGCAGTCCTGTTTGGCAGGAACGCGACCTTGATTGGGATGAAAGCATTTTAACGCTGATAGATTGCCATGAAATTTTGTACAGAAATCCATTGTTCTCTTGGGATGTGTGCTACTGATTCTGGTGACCCCCGGCCTTTTTATCTTGACCCCCTTAAATATCTCAATAGCTGCAAGATGGCGAGACACCACATTTTGTGCAGGAAAAAAATCCATCATTATCCTTTTCTTTGCAATGTAATGGTATCCTTTCAGTTTTAACCTGTAATTGTCACGTGTTCTCCACAGATCAAGATTATCGAGCTGCCCAGTAAGACTGCAGTCTGCACCCTTGTGCCAGAAGAAAAGCTGGGGATGGTCATGTGTCTAAAACTGTGGCAGGTAAGCATCAGTTTAAAGTGTTTTTTTCAAAGATATTGTTGAGTTGTTTTAATTAATGTTTTAATTAATTGTCTGTTACTCTATTTTTCTGCACCATTACCAGCACACACTGAGAAATGCACAGATACACTCAGAAAGGGCCCTATGCCGCTCATTTACAGCCCCCCATCTTTTTTGACATTTGCGTGAGTCATAGGTCAAAATTATTCTGATTTATCTTTGGAGCTATTTTATTTCTATTTCCTCCCTTCAGGACAACTTTCTTCTGATTGGTTGCCCCTCATATAAATATATACATTTCAACTAAAATATGGTGGAGCTTCTGTGCTCACATGCAGAGATGTGTTTCTTAGATATCGTCTAGTACAAAACTGTCTAAAATGTCTTTTCGAACATTTTGCACAGGTCTAATTAGGAGCCACCAGTGAAACATAACAGAAAATAAGGAAATTCACAATATGATCAGTCACACTATCCAAACAAAGAAAATCACACTGACAGCCAGAGAACGATGTACCTTTTGTTTCATGACTGTTAATAAAAGCTCACACATCCGTACATACCTGCTTCATTCTGATTGGACAGCGGCCCACGACAAGTCGCTAAAGTAAACAAAAAACACACACGTGAGATGCGGCTCGTGATTTACAGCTCGACAACTCGTCCTGCATCATTTTTTCCAAGCGTTTCTTCTCAGCTGGCAGCGAGTCCCAACACTGTAATTAGAGTGTTTGGAAAGGCCGGGGGTTCACAGCCATATATCAGCCTGCAGCTGTACATCCAATCTGATCTGGGCAAAAGAAGTTACAGCTTTCTGTTTTGTGATTGCCGTTGAAAGTTTTATTTTCCAGCCATTAACGCAACCCTGTAATTATTTTTATGGTTAATTATTAACTCTCCGGGTTTTGGGGCTGCAGGGAGGGACTGAATGGGGGGTTTTGATGCAAGGCTGTGGATGGTTTGCATAAATTTAATGAGCTGTGCAGTTTACAGGCAACAGAAATCAAAACACAGCTTATCATCTTGAACCCCAGAGTGAGGCAAGCTGCTGGCCTGTGCACACTTAGCCCAGCATCCCTGTAATACTAATTAGAGTTAATAAGTCAAAAGCAAAGCCTATAAAGGTGACATTGTTTGTGATGTTGTAGAGAAAAGAGTCTCGGTGCCTGCTGACAGCATGTTTGTGTTTTTTCTTGTTTGTCTTTGATTTCACTGTTGCACCCACCTTTCATCATCTGATTTATGAACCAAAGCTGGCTGAGCGTTGAGTGCCAGAAAACATAATGATCAATTATATCATTATAAATTATATAATATCTTTGTAATACAGCACAGGCAGCTGTCTGACTTCAAAGCCGAAGGGCCCAGGTGATTGTAAATCATTTCAGGCCGATTCCTTTCAAAGCATGTTCATCTGTTACACTGACTGAGTGACTCAAGAGTTTCCGAGCGCAAGAAAAGACTGAAAACCCGGCCCTGTCTGTGTGCATCTGTGAATGCATACAACCCCTTCTTTCACTCACTATCAAACACACAATGGCAGGTCTTTTCTCAGTCACGAGAAGAAAAAAATACAAACGTTATCCTGCCTTTCGCATTAAATGCTCAAATGCTGCCTACTGCCTCCTTAACCTGACACAGCAGGAAGCAACAGCTGAAACAGCTACAGTTAGGTCCTTATATATTTGGACGCTGACAGTTTTGTTTTTTTTACCTGTTTACTGAGGGTACCCACGTTCAAATTGGGTGAAGGGTTTAGGAGTTTCAGCTCCTTAATATCTGCCATCTTCTTTTAAAGGGACCAAAAGTAATTGGACAGCCATTGTCTCAAAGGCTATTTCACAGGCAGGTGTGGGTAATTCCTTCCTTATATCATTATCAAGTAAGCAGATAAAAGGTCTGGAGTTGATTTGCGGTATGGTGCTTGCATTTGGAAGATTTTGCTGTGAACAGACAACATGCGGTCAAAGGAGCTCTCTATGCAAATAAAACAAGCCAACCTTAAGCTGCCAAAACAGAAAAAAAAACATCTGAGAAATTGCTACAATATTAGGAGCGGGAAAACCTACAATTTGGTACAGAAAGAAAGGAAGCACTGGTGAACTCAGCAGCGCAAAACGACCTGGACGTCCATGGAAGACATGCGTGGTGGATGATCGCAGAATAAATTCCATGGTGATGAGAGATCCCTTCACAACAGCCAAACAAGTGAACAAGACTCTCCAGGAGGCAAGTCACTCATAAGCCTCAAGAGTAGAAAGGCTAGATTGGAACAAAAAAGCCAGCAGAGTTCTGGAAAAATCTTCTCTGGACAGATGAAACCAAGATTATCCTCTACCAGAGTGATGGCAAGAAAAAAGTATGGAGAAGGCGTGGAACAGCTCATGATCCAAAGTGTACCACATCAACTGTAAAACACGGCGGAGGCAGCGTGATGGCTTGGACACTAATGTTTGTTGATGATATGACACAGGACAGAAGCAGCCGAATGAATTCTGAGGCGTTTAGAGACATACTGTCTGCTCAGATCCAGCTACATGCAGTCAAATTGATTGTCAGTGTTTCATAATACAGATGGAAAATGACCCAAAACATACAACCAAAGCAACCCAGGAGTTTATTGAAGCAAAGTAGTGGAATATTCTTGAATTTTCTTTAGTTTTGTTGAAGACCCAGCATCTGGTGATGTGGATGGGTTCAAGACTTCAGGCTGTCATTGCCATCAAAGCTTTTTCAACCAAGTATTAGAAATAAGATTTTTATTGTCAGTTATTGAATTTGTCCAACTACTTCTGATCCTCTGAAAATAAGGGCTCGTGTTTAAAAAAAAATCTGTTAGTTCCTCACATTTTTATGCAAACTTTATATTTAACCCGCTGAATTAAAGCTGAACTTTAACTGCATTTGAGTTGTTTAATTTAATATTCATTGTGGTAACATACAGAACCAAACAAGTAAAAAAAAGTCATCTCTGTCCAAATATATATGGACCCAACTGTATCCCCATCTCTCCACCCTGACTCTCCCTATCACACACACTCCAGGAAGAAGCCACTGCCAATTATCTCTTCTCTCTGTCTTCGCACTCGCCACCCCTCCCTCTTTTCTTCCCACTGCTGAGACGAGAAGCGATTATCCTCCTTTTATTTTTAAGGCAGACTCACCAACAGATTTATTGTCAGCCTTTAAGACCTCTCTGCAGGAGTTTATGGAAACGATTAAGTCTTAAGCAGCGCTTTCTTCCAAATTTAGCCACAATTCACTCCATTAAAATCCCACCTAGCCCTTAGTGGGCTATGACATAAAGGTGACAGAGCTTATTATCAGGGTTTTCTGCATCTGATCGGCTAGGAAGCCATGAACGATGGCGAGTGGAGGAGGAGGAAAGCGCCTCCACATGTGGGTTTGACTTGTGTGCCGATGTCAGGCTTGGCCAGGGGGACAGTAGTGATATATGATGTGCAAGGCTTTTAATGTGAACAGAGGCTGGCGGGGGGAAAGGAAATGTTCCTATACAGATATCCATCACTCTCAGCTCATCACCTTGCAGCCTCGTGGCCATGACATCATGGTGAGACCGGGACGAAAAGCGAAGGAGGCGATTGGTTCCTTATGTTGAAGCAGTGTCTGCCCGAGGCCTGTGGTGGCCACATCAGCAAACAAACTGGTCTGAGGGTTGTTCGTGATTTAGGCCGGAATCACAACACAAGGAAACGACACCGAAAATTTATTAGCTTCATGATGCCATTTTTCTCCAGTTATCTTGTTATGTTTTTACTTTGTGAAAGCAACAGTGCACAGCTGAATAGAGAGTAGATTGTTAGTGTAAATGACTCCTTTACATTGTCCTTGGCAAAAAATACAGAAAAACCTATACGCCTATAAAACTATATAATATAGGTTAATATAAAAATTCTCATGTATGATGGCTGTGGTCCTGGGATCATAGCGGATTCTCCAGTCTGCACCCCAAATTGTTCGTGATGCATTGTTGGTGGGTGAGTGTGTGGGTAGAAAATGTTTAAGACATGGGTGAAAGTGGCCTGTAGTGTAAGTAGCACTTTGAGTGATCAGTAAGAGTTGAAAAGTGCTATCCAAGTACCACTGACCATTTGCATACCTTATAATAAACAAGGACAAACAGTACAGAACATCACCAATAAATGGCACATATTAGTTGCTGTCAGTAAAGTCTGTGATGTTTATGGCCCTGCTTTGTGACAATCTGCCCCTGTAGATTACCACTATTTACTTTAACTTTTCTGAAAAAATGAACATGACTAATTTTAATATTGAACACAAAAGCTAAATGGCAGTTACAGTGGAAGTTGCATTCTTCTGTTTGTCTTAACCAGTTGTATCAAATTTAAGGCCCGGGGTCAGCACCGGGCCAGCAAAGACCCGAACCCGGCCCACTGGAGATGTTTAGAAAATACGACGGAGGGCATAAAGGTTTGGACTTTTTTACTGTATATTCATAAATTTGACAGCTATTCCTGTTGATAAGGATTCCACACACAGCCATTTATATTACAACAAAGTAGTTAGGTAAACAATTTAATGACAGTTTTTCACCATGTACAATAGAAATTTTGTTTAAATTTTTTTTTCATCAAAAACTTTGTTTTATAAATATGAGACAGTCTGGGCAGTGACCTGAGATGTCCTGATAAAGTTGCACTTCTTTATCTTATAATAAAATATGTCAGGGATTAAATGTGAAGTTAAATGTTTTTACACTGAAAGTGAGTTTCACTCATCTCGCCCACATCAAAGTGAGCTGCACATGCTTTATGTTTCTAAAAGTAGTTTGACATCCCTGGTGTAAACTGAGGCATTACACAAAAATAATAAGTACAAATGTTTTTTTGATTTTATGATGTGCAAATCATCAAAAAAAAATATTCGTGACCAGAGATCGAACTGAAGTGCTTCAGGGCTGCAACTGCACTTTTTTCCTGAGAAAGAGGAACTTTCTCAGAACTGTGATTTAATCTGCTCACATTTGTGAATAAAGCTCTTAGTTAGAAAATGTAATGACCTCTATAACAGTCGTTAAACTTTTCTGTAAAGATGTCTGGATATGTATTCTGGAGGAAAATAGAAAAAACTTAAAAAGAGGAAAAGAGGGTTATAGGAGAATTATGAAATGCTTTTCACTCTGTTTGACATGGTAAAATTGAGAAGCGGAAACATTCTGTCTGATTGTGAAATTTAAGGTTTTGCAGCTTTCTTTAAAAACAATCATTTCAAAATTGATGGTTACCTAAAGCAAGCAATTTGGTGATGAGTTTTAGAAAACTGTGTAAATATTTATATTGCCTTACATAATATGTTATATGTATAACATAAGTATTATGTATGTTGATTATGTTGACCAATATGATGTACCTGTGCACGTCATAGTTGTAGTTTCTAATGCTTCAGCGGCAGGTGGATTTTAAACATTAAACACTGTTTCAGCAGACAAGAGAAGGAAGGAAACGAATAAATGAATATTAATAAAATATAATATACTTAATATATTCAGTACAAAAGCGCTCAGAGTGTTAATTGTCAAACAGGACACAGCTACACCACCTTACAGCATGTATATCTCACTAGAAGTCTTAATAAAACTCCAAGACTAAAACAGTTGGGATGCAACTGGTTTTGCAAATCTCATAAACCAAGATCATTTTGTGTCCCATTCCTACTTGCTCTTTCTACTCAGCGAGTGTCCTGTGCACTAAAACAAACGGAAAAAAAATAAAATGAATCAGTCTCTAATTACGTGCTAATACGCTACATAAATACAGCTATGAAAACATGGCTGAAAGTCACATGACATTGCCATCCTGGAGACGACACAGAGAAGTCTCCTCCGTTGGTCCTGCATCTCCAGCCAGCTTCCATCCATCTTTCCAGCTGCTCTTTGGTGATGAATCTTCTCCCTGAGCCCCAGCCCCACTCCAGCAGAGAGCCCTCTTGTAGAAAGGCCTGTGGAGGATATAATGAATTACATGTCTACCCAGGGTTCCCCGACCTCTGACCCATGACATCATCAATCAGCAAAGTCCTACACTTAAGTGAAACGGTGGGCCCCTAGCCTGGAACGCTTAGCCCGGTCCCTGCCGGCAAGCAGGGGCCACTGATTTTCACGTGTTTTTATTTGTTTTCATAATCCCTTAGTGTTCGTCCTCGCTGATGTGTTTGGAAGGAATACACGACTCTGTCTATAATTTGTTTAAAGCTGCAAGAAGAGAAATATAGGGCGTTAAGTGAGAAGAGGACTTGGACATGAGTAGGGAAAAAATGGCAGACACGGCCTCCTTGCACATATGGAAAAAATTTCTTACCCTCCTACCTTCCGCATGGCACTGTGCTATTTCTGGAGGCCTGGCGGTATTTTAAAGTAAAGGCATGAGTTAGGATATACGTACATATCTGTTTCTTCAGGCCACATTAGGGCGTTTTAAGGAACGTATTTACGGTAGAACGGACTACAGTGTTTTGTATTTTTATGGAAAAAATGTGATTTTCAGGAAGCGGGATGATGGGAAAATCTCACCAGGTGTCCCTCCCTCGTCCTTCACATCTCGCCTCCAGCAGTGCCTATATAAGGCAGCTACTTTTCACCAGCCCACCTTTATGCGCTTGTCCACAGACATAATTTACAAGCTCAGCTACACCTCCACACAGCCTCTGAGCCGGCTTGATTATACTGCTGTAGAGGAAGCGAGCACTCAGAGGTTATCTGTGGACTCACAACAGTGGGAAGGCACAGCTTTATTATTCTTTTCAAATGTTACACTGCTGACTTTGCCCCATTAATATGCATGCAACTCTATTTTATGGTCACCATAGATTGCTCTATATATTTCACAGAAGATTCTTTTTTATTTTGTCTGATGCCTGTTTGCACACTTGGTTTCATTTCATTTCATGTGATTTGAAAGATTTACTCTGATGGATTTGCCAGTTGTAAACATTCAAGCTGGATCTGGAACGTCCGGAAATGAAATGGATGTGAAGCCAGATTATATGTGTCGGGTTTGTACGAAAGTTCGATTTATTTATTCTTTTTAGATCGCGAGTATGCAGTTTGAGAGTATTTTTTGCAGAGGAGTTATATTGGTAGCAAAAATGATCAAAATAGAATAAAATAATAAAACATGAACACATTAAAGTGGAGAAAAACCAGAACATTGCATAATGAGGAGATAGTCAGGAAGACATGAACACAAAATCTCAGCTACATGTCGAGAAAAGCAGCATTTTTTCAGCGTTTTGCTTTATTTCACTACCTGATGCAGTATTCTATCTGTGCATGCTTGATGTCTGTGGCTTAGTAATATAGATGAGGAGCAAAGTGAGGAGTGGTGTAATGGAGTGCTGGAAAGAGAGAGCAGCAAGCTGACGAATGGAGCGTTTCTCTGAGTGTCAGCGGGAGCTTCCAGGATGATAACCTCTGCTCCTCTCAGTTTCCAGCATTGCGCAGTGGTTTCCGTGTTTTTTGTTTTTTACGACACAGCTCTCATCTCACATCTTAACTCATGCTTCACTTTCTGTCCCCTCTTCTCCATCTTGCTGTCCCTTCTCCTTCCTCTCTTCAGCCAGACTCGGGCTCTGGGCCTCTCCTGTTAGCTGGATACGAGAATGGCTCTGTGTTGCTGTGGGACGTAACCCAGAGGTCCAAGTTGAGCCAAGTCAAAGCCCACCCTGAGCCTGTCATGTGCCTGACCTTTGACACCACAAGTCTGAGGGGCGTATCGGGCTCCTCTGAGAAGACGCTCTCCTCCTGGAGGCTGGATGGACAGAGCAACCTGCAGGTCAGTAGAGGACAGAGCGTTTGATCTGACTGGTCAGTCACTCTCAAACTATGAAAATGTGAATTTGTTTGTTGTGATACACCTGCAGTAACCTCTAATCCGCAGTGATAACTTAGAAAAACATAGCTTTAATCATTGCTTTTAGCTAGCTGTATTAAGTATTTGTGACTTAAATTGATTTGTGCTTGATTTTAGCTGTTTTTTTCTGTTCGGATGTTTCAGTTTGGTCACTATGTACTTTCCTTTATATCAAATAATACTAACAATTCTGCCAAATTAGGGTTAAGTACTGAAGGTATTTTAGACATGATGCCAGGTCTCTCTTGAAGTTGAGCTTTTTAATCTCAATGAGATTTTTTTACCTGGATAAATAAAGGACTAATAATAAATAAAACTATTCCAAAGGATACAACTACCTTTGTTGAGCTGGTCATGCTAATTCATATTGGTTACTGAAGCGTCCCTAGCTAAGACCCCAAATAAGCTGACCTGCTAACTAATTGTTTAACATGAGAGTCCCTAGAAATAGTATAAAAAGGAACTGGAGGAGACAGCAGCAGAGGAGTGTTACCTTTCTCTGGGCTTGCTTGGAAAACATCAGGGGCCAAAGAGGAAGAGGCTCAGCAGGGCTCCAGGGGCCATAAATCAGCTGCTGGTTACACAGCATTGGCAGAGCTGGAGGCCAAGGGCCAAGCTGGGGCTGTCACTCCAGAGTCTTACCACCCACATGAACATTGATACACAATCGCATACTAGACCTCGATATGCTCACGTCACCGTTGATTACAGCTGGGAAGAAAAATGTGTGTCATTTTCTGGTTTTAAAAAGAGGAAAATCAAGGCATACTTAATTCATTTAGCATACAACATTCGTCTTACCATAATTCTGTTAAAACACAGACAGACTCTCAAACATATGTCCTGTCTATACAATAAATTCCATGCCAGTGCATCTGCACTAACACCAAAAGAGATCATATCAGCTTGTACCATAATTCATTTTACATAACAACCAACGCCTCCGAGACTTAACGCCTCATTTGAAGCTGTATTTTCTCTTGATTTCATGAGCAAAAGGGAATGCTCCTATTTTTCAGCCAACCCCCGTGAATCCGAGCCAAGGGGAACCTGAGGCTGATATAGTACACTCCTGCACAGTGAAAGCGGTATTATTCTTTCCGAGGCTTTTTACAAATGAATGCTTGAATTAGAAATATTTGCAAAGCTCCATTTTTTTTCACCCCTAAATATGTGTCTAGGAAAACACCGCGAAGGATTTGATTCAATCGAAAGGAGGACGAGAGGGGTTTATTTGCTTTATTTTGCTCGAGCAACAAAATATTGATTCAGCGTGTAATCCAGGATGAGTATGACAGGCAGAAAGCACAAGGAGAGGGAAAGGATCCAACGGGGGCTTTTAAATTATTCTGAAGTGCAGCTCAGTGTGACGTCCAGACAGCTATCCTCAGTTCTTCCCACAAAAGTATTTTTGTGTGGCCATAGCAGGCAGGCAGGGGGGACCTGCCGGTTGGTGGACCCTGGCCCGGGGTCCTGACTGATGACCCTTGAGAGGTAATAAAAATATCAAAACCTGAGAGGCCCCTTAACCAAACAAAAAACACATCTGCAGTAAAGGGAACAGTAGTTCACAGTGGGAGGCTGCAATAAAGGCTGAGGAGGCTGTAAGTGCCACAGCATCCCACTTCCCACAAATTACCCCTGCGATACAGTCCAGTGCAGCAGAGCTGGCTGGATGCTTTTTTTTCTCCTTTTTTTTGGTGAAACGGTGGGGAAACTGAATGTGACACAATGCAGCGCAGTTATGATTTAGTGAAGCTGAAAGGCTGTGAAGTGAGCTTATCAAGGCCAGATAAAGACAGATAGCCTCAGGAATGGAGGTTAATGTATTTCACATGGCTTCCAGAGGCCTTTATCTTCTGCTTGACCTGGAAAGCCTGATATCATTTCATAGCATTTTTCCCCCTCTGCTCTGGTGCAGTGTGCATTTTTGAGAATTTGTCAGGGTCGAGACTATGTTGTATAAAGACGTGAGACTTACAAGCTGTTAAACCAGATGGACGCTCATTTAGGTGGATGCTCACCTGCATTGGCACGTGCAGTGACGGGTTTCTCCTGGAGAGGGAAAAAGACAGCAGTCGCAGTCTGGAGAAGGGAAAACGGGGTATAGACAGGGGAAGATTAGCAATGTAAATCAAGCGTGTCTGACAGTGAGCTGTTGCTGGAGCTGATGACAGTTCTCTACAGGTGGACATCCTGCTCCTCACATACACAGCAATATAAAAATATCCCCTGTTGTCACCTGCACAATTTCTTTGGGAAACCACAATTCCTGCAACTGCCAGTGTCGAGTCCTGGCTTTTGGATCCGATCAAATCAAGCCCAACTTCAGCTGTGCTGCAATATAAAAAATCTTCACTCTTTTTATGGGGCATCACCCTTCCTCCTCCTCCTCCTATCTTTTCTGAATGGGATTGCTCACCTGACACATCCATCTCCTGTCAGCCAGAGCCGAGCTCTAACAGACAAGGTGACAAAAGGCTGTAATCTCCCCACTGCCAAGTGTGATTCAGGGACAGGGTGTGTCAGATATACCTGTGAAAACCCTTCCAGCCGCTAGACTCGAGTGAGTGAGCGATGATGGGACATTTCAGTAGATCAGTGTGAACACCAAGATTGGTGCCAAGACCAAGGTTAAAGACAGGAGGGAAGAAGAAGGGGGGAAAAAGTGAAGCAAAGCACGAGTGAAACCTGCCAAGTGGACACTCCCTTTGAACGTCAGCTCGCTCTGGTGAGATGCTACGAAAGAGGATCCTGAAGTGTTAGTTTGTGTTGGATCTGTCATAGGCCCAGCTGCTGAGCAGAGCTGGTAGCCTCCTGACAGCTGAGAAATCTGGCGTTTAGACAGCAAACCCCGTTGTGTGTGTTTATCTGCATGCTGTAACACAGCCCAGGAAGGAGTGTTTCCAAAAAGGGAAGAAAAAAAAACAAGAAAAAAGAATGATGAAGACCAAAGATGGATTCTGTCTGTGATGAGATAGCAAGGAAGCAATCTGAGGAAAAATGGGGTGGAAATAATGCAAGCCAAGACTCCCCGGTTAGAGCTAATGGGTTTCATTAGAGACTGAGGACTGGTTAATGGCAGCACTTGAAGTCAGCTGCATTTTCAGTTAGATGTGGTGTGGCCTGACAGCAAAAGCAACAATGCTGCTGCCGGAGAACATCGAGTTAGAAAAGACAATAGTCTTATGTTCCAAGAGCAAAGAGTTTTTCTGACATTTAGAAATAATATATTCAAGGGCTGCAACTATTTTTTAGGTTTTTTTAATTCAAATTAATCTGCAGCCTCAGAGCCAGTTGAAGCACAGCTTTATTTATTTGGCCCACTTTTATGGACCAAATAAATAGGTCATATTTTTAAAAAGCCAAATCCAATCAATTAACTGTTTGTAGAAGACAGTTTAAAAAAATCTCATTTGAGCAGCAGGAGTTTTGATCCTTTTTTTTTTTTACATTTAGGAGATTGTTGTCTTTTCGAAAAAGCAGCTGCTTAGCTTAGTGTCTGGAATCAAAGTCTGGAATCAGGGTACATGGCTTTGTTCTAAATACCGAAGTCAAAATGTTTCTCAAAATGTTTTAATCATCCTGTTGTTTTTTCAATCATTATCGAAAAAAACAACAACACCGGTCTCCAAAGTGTCCTAAGTGTAAGCAGATCATCTATATGATCAAAATTAATATGACTTTTAGGCTGCAACTCCCATTTCCTGTCAGGAAGATGTGATTTGCTGATAAATTAGCAGGTAAAGTGCAATTAAAAGTTAACCCCAAAGTGAGGCCAGCACAAAATTAATTGCAATAAAATAAAACCGGCCTGGATTTTTCTTTAAGTTTAGAATTGATAAATTGGCAGCTAATTGAATCTCACAGTTTTATTTCTCTTTTACTTCTCAGTCAGTCAGCTGAATGTTTCAGTCCAAGCTCCAGCACCTCGCGACTCGACACTGATGGCCGGCAGCTCAGGAACCGGCAGAGCTTCACATGAGCATCACTCATTCTAAATTATAGCACAAGGCAGCCATTTTTTTTCTTTTTACTACTTTTTCCTCTCCACTTTCTCAGACAGAAAGTAAAAACAATTAACCAAGCAGCCTTGCTGAATGACCATCACTACTTCATTAGCCATTTACTGCCTGCAATTGACCCCTTAATGAAACAAATGCCTTTTCCTGACACAAACTATGGGAAGCAAAACAAACAAAAACAGACACTTAAACCCATCATTATCAGGACTCTAATGCAAACCAGATGGACAGAGGTAGGGGCATACCAAATACCTGAGGTAATAACAAAGCTCAGAACAATCTTTCACCCCTTAGTTTGCTTTGTATTTGTGTATTTGGCTCTGTTGGGCGAAGTGGCCACACGGTTTCATCCTCGCAATGATGGTTTGACTAACAAAAGAGAAAAAGTGAAATGGTATCACTGTCTCTTCTAAACTTGGCTTTTCTTGCTGTTATGATCAATGACATTCCTCCCTGCTCCTTCTCTCCCTTGCATTCCACTTTATCCACTTGGGCTATGAGTACCTGGCTTATGTCTTCCACATGCAGCTTGCGGATGGTTCCTGCCCAGAACAGGAGCAGGATAAATTCTCCCAACATCTCCTCCCCATCCAAACCATTAGTCTCCCTAGACACAACTTATGAAGTCAATTTTACGCTGTCCAGTTTGATTTCAGCTCCCACAGCCAGATGTTTAGGTCCCGTATAGCGATCCGGTGGAGATCTCTACCCTTCAGGAAAAGCACGTTCGCTTCTCCAGGAATGCCCACAACACCGGGGCCCTTCAGAGCACCATCTTAGCCACCATTCATTTTCATTTGTCAGAATGTTGCGCATTTAGAGAGATGGATACAGTCTGTGGGACGCTGTTGATCACAGGGAGAGGGGGCTGTGGCTAATCTTTAGCAGGCAGATGTTACAGCAGTGTATTTATCAGGTCTCTCTCCGCTGATCAGACCTTTCAGTCTGAATGTAATTCATCAGAGGTGCTTAAAGCAACACGGTCTCTGCAAACAAGCATTTCAGCGAGATGGTCTCTCGCTTTCTTCCAAACGGCGACACAGGTAACACGCTTACAGAATACGCCTCCCTAACTCCAAAACAAATAATGGGTCGCCGAGAGATTTACTCGCGGCCCTCGTGCCCTAATGTTTTATGGATGATGATTGAGTCCCAGGAGTATGCAGCCAGGTTCAACAGACCTCCAGCCTCACACTTGGACCTCAGTCATCAGATCAGCTGATAGCCCCCTCATTGTCGGTGTTTGCCTTGGCCACATTTTCCCAGACGGTAGTGATTAATTGACTTACTGATCTATTAAGTATGTCTGTTTTTTTTCTTGCCTCTATTTGCATGAAAAATGGGTTATTTGGTGTTACATTTACAGTTAGGAAAAAATGCTACATCCCATCCTTAAACAAGCACGAGGCTTGGAATACATACGAGAATGCCTTTGTAGTTGTGTTTTAGTAGCACACAGTCACCTGTTCAGATATTTTTCCTCTTTCTTTCTTACAGCTGCAGGACTGCGTGACGCTGGTCAACCCCGGGGTTTCCCAGCTGTGTATCCGCATGGATCGTAAACTTCTGGCTTCAGCAGGTTGGGACCACCGGATAAGAGTTTTTGGCTGGAAGAAGCTCCGGCCGCTGGCGGTACTACAGTACCACACAGACATGGTGCTCAGTGTAGCTTTCTCTGACCACCGGGACCCCAGACAAAGAGTCCTGGCTGCTGGATCAAAGGACCAGCGAATCAGCCTCTGGTCAGTTTACAACGAGGGAACAGACACAGGCTGAGTCACTGAGCTCTGAGAAGATTTACAGATTTATGATCAATACTACATTCATACATTACAATCATGTGTGCTGATACAATATGGAAATAGATTGTGCTTCTCATGTACTGACATTACAGTTGAGCTATGAACAGCTACCTACTGACAACCACGTGAAACTCAGGAGTCCGTGTTTCACTCCTTAGCGCTGTACAGCTGCAGAATTAAAGCACTTCAATTCTTTTTGATACAGATTAAATAAAGGATCGTCTTCATGGTCGGAAGATGCCGGTGAATACATGATCACAACTGATTTCCATGTTCAGTCTTTACAAGTTAGACCAACTGCAGCATCTTATCAAAGTTGTATTGGTATGTTCTGATGTATATATACTGATTATGTTTTTATTTATCTCTGAGAATAGCGAGGAAGGGGTCAATGTGAAAATACAAAGAAAGTATATTGGTCTCCAAAATAAAATAAAATCTTTATTTTCACTCATTATATTTTAGTGTGCTTTTAAAAAAAATATTTAAATATATCATGTCAAAGCTGAACCACCATTATTTCCATTTCTATTAAGCTGACTGGAATTCCTGATGACTTTTAACTGCTCCATGCAGCTATGTGATTGTGTTGACCTATCTGAAAGGAGATTTGCTTCAGTGGACTTGAATTTAAGGTATACGCCGCACCTGAGCAGCTACGTAATCTCATGTTGTTATTCTAGCAGGCTTTAGTTTAGCACACAGGCCTTGCAGTCTGAACTGAGCTGTGTTTGTCAAACAAAAGTAAATCACAGCGTGGCGGGGGGGGGCAGAACAGAAGGATAGTGGTTTGGTGTTGCTTTCCCTGATCTGCGTAATCAGTTTATGAGCTCATTTTATAAGAAGTATACCTGCTTTGAGATAAACTATTAAATGTGAACTCCTTTAGCGCTCGTGTCGAAACGTGTCAAGTTGAAAATTAAGCAAAGGTTCTGTTTAATTTGCCGTGTGACAGTTGTTAGCATTTAGATTTGTAATGCCGAATGCAGACGTCCTTTAAAGAAGATGACATTTGTCAAGAAGGTTAAGGGTCTTAAAGGAAAATCAAGATGTTTTGTTTTTCATTTCATTCTTTCGCAATATATCTGAGAGTCGACGAGCATCATGGGAGCTCATATGTTACTACATCGTGCCGAGAGGTCGGAAGGGGGGGGGAGGCAGAGCTTCAAACACCAGACGTTCTGCTTCGTAACGACTTTGGCTCCGGGGATGATCCCAAGTTGAGAAGCTCGTCATGGTGTACAGGACAGGCCTGAGAAATCAAAGAGCCAGAGCAGCACAATGGCCTTGAATCATTAGCCAGCATAGAAAAGACAAGGTCATTATTGAGACAAGCTGCTTTTCTGTGAAGCTGCTGCCAAAATTGTACCTGAACTTTAAATTCGTTGAAAGCTTTTATTTCACTTAAAAGTCCATGTATAAACCGTCTATCACTTTTTTTTTTTTGTACTTTTTAGTATCCCCCGCAGAGTATACGTTTTGTCCCTACACTTCCTGTGACACCTTGCATTCATAATGTCTTCCTAACTCCTTTGTTGGCTTTGAACAAACACTGGAGGTGATGTAGGCAAGCTTCCGTCCATTCTCTGATAAATCAAATGCTTGGTCCTATTGGTGTAGATGTCTGCTGAACGGAGCAGACAACAACCCAGTAGCTTCACAAGTGTCCGGCTGTATGGCGGTAAACCTCGTAAATCACTCCATAATGGATCATTTAGGAAGTCAATAAACGGGGAAGAGAGACTGTCTGCACAATAGGCCTTGTGCTTCACTTATCACCTAACATGTGTCTTCCTTGGCCCTTAAGGTCAGAGGTCAGCCTGGTTTAGGGATGGGACATAATCCGTTAGGGTGCACGTGTGTGTGCGCAGTCAATGCAGTCTCTCCCTAAGCCTTCATGGATTATATTACTAGCTCAGATGTCACACTGAGACTGATTATTTAGACATTGTGAAAAAGAGCGTCCATAAGAAAATAACCCGTTGCCCACAAGCCAAGATCAATGTTTTACCTCACGGCTAAGTTGGTTTTATTTGTTTTTTCATATGTGAATTAATACAAATGTATCTAGGCTCTCGCTGTGTGGTGGGGATTTGTTTTGATGTTCCACGTAAAATGTCCGTCAGCAATATCACACATAGGATAAATCGTAGCAGGTCTCGCGCTGTTTGAGAGGCCGTCGTAGGGACAAATATGCAAAGCATGTGTTCTGTTGTTTAGGTGGCGGACTGCAGCTAGTTTACCTGGATCGCTTTCAATAAGTGTCCCCATGCCGCAGGAGGGTTCCGCACGCCGAGGTGAAGCGAACGCCGCCCCGACGGGCCCGTCACAGCAGATGTTCCAGATGCAGCTGAGTGTCAAATGATGTTTCGGGTGGCGGCATCGTCCATCTTAGCTCTTCTAATGTGGGAGCTCCTCTGCATCCTGTCCCTGCTGGCACGATGAATCGAGGCACATTGACGGTTACACAGTTTAAGTAGATTTGTGCAAATGACACTGAAATATTGACTTTTAAAATGGCCCAGACCCTTTGAAAGCGTGGCAGTACCATTTCATGTGCATGAGTGGAAATGTAACACACAATATGTATGTGAATACATCTTTGAATGCTGCGACCATACTGATTATGTTTAGTTCATACTGATGTGTAATTCATCACAGTTTCTCCAGTAGGCGCAATTTCCCCAATTTTCCACAGCCTGAGGCTTTCAAAGTCACATCTAGACTGATGCATATATTATACCAGGGACACCCATTCACTAAGGACTGTGTCTGAGCGCACAGCATATAAAGAATCTTTTCATTGTTGTGCACAGTTTGGTATAAATTAAACAGCTACAAATAGGGAAGGCCTGAAGAAAATAGCAGTATTGTGACTGAAATGTTGACATTTTATTACTTTAGCATTTCATCTTACATTACACTCTGTTGCACTTCATAAATAAATACTGACCTGAACTCTGCTACATTTATTTTACAACTTTATTTATGTAGTTGGGTTTTCTGATTCATTTTCATAGATTAAACTAGCCAAAAGCAGACAAAGTAGCAGTATCTTAACATGCTTATTCAGAACTTCATAGGCCTTTATAATAGAACAAAAAGGAGTCAGCTGCATGCAGACTGTATAAAAGACTAATATGTATAAAGCCTGTGTATACTGTCAGTCGTTAGTGTTTAGATAGTTTAAATACTTTTTGCTGACTTTAAGTGATTTTCTTATAAGTCGGTTTGAAAGTTTTTATGTACTATTTTTTATTAGTACCATATCTGCAGATATAAAACACTTTGTGGTATTTTTATTTTATTTTTTAATTTCTTTATTACCTCTTTATTCTGAATTAACTGAAAACTCTTTTACAGTGTATTTTAAGATGTGTTTGAAAATGTAAAGACATTGTTAAAACTCAGTTAAAAAAAATAGGATGCATAAATAAATTAGATGCAGTTGAAATCTTTATGGACATCACATTTCTATTGATATTATTTATGAGGAAAAATTTAATAAATGTCTTGTGACTGTCAAAGTTTTTTTTGTGTGTGTGGTCACTGACCTTGAGGGTCAGAGTTACTTAAACTAGTTTCACCGCACTACCACGTCTATTAGCACAGTCACTGATGTGCCTTCTGTGCTGTGAAACCTATAATTAGTCCCAATATACCCTTTTGACCCTTTCTAACCGACTAGTTACCCTCGCCTAACCTTATCACGTGTCCCGGGGGTACATATGCAGTCTAAGGAATAAACTCCTACTACCTGGCTGGTCTTCAACAACCGCCGGCCGGATTCAGCTCACACCGAATGGCTTTACGCCTCCAGACCGCTGCGTATCCCTACTGGACACGCATGAAAGAAAATAAAATAAATAATAATAATTAAAAGATTTTGTGAATTATTTTTTGATGCGGGTAACATATTTGCTTTGCTTTTCGTAAAAAAATTTTTTAATCGTTTTTAGTGATGCATTGTGACTCCATGTGGAAGAAATTTAACAGTTAAATCGTAGGGTGGGTAATGCAACACCACACACACGCGCGCGCGCGCGAAAAAGGCCTCTACCGTTTCTAAAATTAAAACTATACCTTGTGAATGTAAATAATACACATACATAGGTAGAGTAGCATGCTGCGTGAATGTGTATTTTTGTTTGTTAAACAAACAAATCAGCTTTTCTTTTGCTAGTGTTGGGCAGCTAGCATAAAACTATTACACATCCGGGTCCTAATTAGCTTTCTAACGAAACCTTGCTGGCGCGGCCTGTGTATAAACCTTTGTTGCAAACGCAGTAACTTTAAAATTTAGTCCCCACCCAAACAAGCGAAAACAATTATACATCTAATTAGCGTTTAAATGAGTGGAAACATTATTTAACCTCTGTCACCTTTACAAGCCATTAAACAGTCAGGCCAGGCGCCCTCGGGCAGCCCCCTCTGCTAAATGACGGCCGGCTTCGAGAGAGAGAAAAAAATACATTATTAAAATGAATCATTAGTTTACGTTTCCTTTTGTATCGTCACAGGCACAAATCCCAAAGCAGAATTTCCCCCATTTCAGACAGATTAACCTTGACAACAAAGCATTCCTCAGAGGGCTTCAAATAGGAGATGGAAATGACCGCACAGATAAGAGGAGGGTCACATTCTCAAAATATCGCCCCACTGTCCTATTATATATGAGCAATGATATCCTTTTGACGGGAAAACGACAAATGTGGGGGTTTTGTTTTTTGTTTTGGCCTGTTTGCGCCCCATACAATTTATTTTCTATGTTTTGATAAGTAAGTACCTGAAAACATGAAAATTACTTCATAAGTTACTGTTTGAGAAAATAATTTGTAATAATAGCATGACATTCAAAATTCATTGTCTATGAGTCACACATATGCAATTTGTATCTTGTTGTATCAATAGTACCAAAAGGTTTTAATTTTAAAGACTTTTACTGCTGCCTTGCAATAAATTTAATGCATTAAACTACTAAACTGCAGTAATATGAACAGAGCCGATTTACTCTACTTGAGGATATGTAAGATGTGTGGTTGATGAATGCATTTGTGTATGAGTGTGTGTTTTTATGAATCCAGGTGCAGATTTTAACATTTTGAACTATAAAGGGCTCTTATGTTTACACAGCTTCCAAGTCATGCCTGCCAGTGACTGAAACAGCAGCAGGGGACACCGCGGCCTATTTCAACAGGGCAAATCCGGTTGGAGAAACTTGAACAATGCTGATAGAGAGGAAACCCTCTTCAGCATGTGAGTGGAAGACTGGCACAAATACCTCTGTTTTTATGAATTACAAGAATTTAATGTTTATTTTATAGATACAGAACAGTCATTCTGCTTCATTTATTTACTTTGAATTGCTGCAAGTCAGTGCCATGGTACAAGCTTCTCAGAGCGGCTCAAGAGTGTTTCAAAAAATCAAATCTTGACGGTTTTTTC